GGATGAGTCGTGCAACACGTTGTTTACGAAGTTGAATATCTTTTATTTGTGTTTGTTGTTGTGGAACTGAATATTCTTGTTCCAATGATTTCGATTGCATAGAAACATCATCAATTGTAGATTCAATAGCTTCAAGCATGATTTGTACTTCCTAAAGAAAAATTGAGATAAACTATTCATGGTGATTATAGATATTACTTGTAGTTTCTGATCGAGTTGATGTTCTTTCATAGATACTCTATCTGTTAGTTGGCTTTCACAAATAGTTAAATCTTCAATGATGGACTGAATTCGAATTTGAAGACTGTTTTGTTCGGCAAGTCCTTGTCGAAGATGTTCGATTTGATTTTTAATATTCGATTCGATTTGAATTATTTCTTGTTTGATTTGATTGAATCGAATATTGTATTGACGAACTAAGCCAGTATCTTGAAATTGTTCAATAATGTTTTCAATTTCATTTTCGAGATTATGAATTGTTTGTAGATAATTATTCGATGATTTTTGATAGACTTCGAATGTATCATTTGTTAATGGAGAAGAAAATTTCGGTGAACGATCAAATTCAATTTGTAGAGTTTCAATTAGCCGATCGACTTTATTTTGAAATGATGTTGTTTCGTTTTCTTTTTCGAGAATAGATTCGATTTCATCTTTTAATGAAAGTACGTCTTGATGTAATTGTTCAAAACGTTCATAAATAAATGTCGATGTAGCTTTGCTCGAATGTTCAATAATGGTTAATTGTTCTTGAATTTGAATTCTGTAAATATTCAATTGAACCAGTTGATCTGTTGGCGAACGTTGATCAGGCTCGGGTGTAAGCAATCTCGATCGACTATCAGCATATTGTAAAATATTGACGATACATTCATTGATTTGTTCATTTAATTCGTTATAATTTGCAACCATTTGATTCAAAGATTTATATTCATTGATTAAACGATTGAAAGCAATGTGTTCATCGTTGGTTTGTGTTCGTAATCTTTCGAGTTTGCTTTTTAATTCTTCGATTGTATTATTATTAGAAATTTGATTGAAATTTTTCGATAATTCTTTCAATTGTATTTGCATTTGTTCGATTTGTTGAAATAGTTGAGTTAAATTTTCAAACGTTGTTTCATTATCTAATTGTCTTTGATAGGAAATTTTATTGAAAGTTTCTTCCTGTAAATTTAAACTATCGTCCATTGATTTTATGAACAGTTTCAATCGTTCATCTTTAAGTTTGTTTTCTGTTGTTTGTTCGATTTCTTGATTAATTTGATTTAATTTAAGACGATATGTTGTTTGTAATTGAGATAAATCGTATTCAATAGTTGTATCCAAAAAGAATAGATTATCATTCGGCGTAAGAATTGAAAAACGCGTTGATTTTATTTGTAGAAGATAATCAATATGATCTTGTAGAAGAAGTAATTCATTTTGAATATCCTGAAAAAAGTTAAACGAAAAATTTTAACGATTTGAAGAAAACAAAAATTACTTTTAATGAATCAAGTTCATGATTATTTTGTTGATAGAGTTCAACAATTTGATGAAACGATGAATATGTTGTATCGAAACGAAGTTTAAATTCGAGCCATGCTTGTTGCTTTTCAAGACATAATGAGTGAATAGTTGAGAGTTGATTTTCTAACGATTGTAATGCATCAAAAAGAAATTGATTTTCGTCCAGTAATTTATGTTGACCATCGGACGCTGTAGCTTTTTGAATACGAACGAGAATTGGTTGTAATTCATCATAGCGTACTTTCAAGCGCTGGACTTGCATAACTTTTGACTATAGAAAGATTTTAAGAAAATAAAGTTAAAAAGTATTTAATAGTTTCATTTATAAGTTTTGCTCAGAGATCGATCTGGCGAAATGTTGTGATGAAGGATAAATAGTTTCTCGGCACTCAATAAAATTCTTACCTCAATTAATTCTCTTGTTTTTTCAATAGTCGAAATTGGTTGTTTATCAAGATTACACAATTCCGTAGTAACATCGGCGATGAATGATCTGAGTGTTCGTGCACTTTCACCATAATTAAAATGTTCATTAAAAATTAAATTTGAATTATCAACTTGTTCCTATTTGTCGAAAGAAAACGATAGAATTCGAAAAGTTTGTTTTTCTCATTTCTTGTCTTTACTTTAAATTCACGAAGCATTTGTTCATGTTGAATTTTAATTTCACTTAACGCTAGAATGTTTTCTGTTGATGTTTTACATTCACGTTCAGCGTCATGAATTAATTCTTCGAGGAGATTTCCCACGATCTCAAGATCGTTGTAAACCGTCTGAAAAGAGAAAGTTTTTTGATAAATTTAAAATTAAGATTTTACGTTGTAATTCAAAACTAACCACTGCTAATTCGGCACGTATACGTTTATCAGATACTGAATTGGGTGTTTCATTTCTTAAATGATTCAGATCAGTTTCATATAAAATAAGTTTACGTTTTATTTGTCGAAGATTATCATCGATTTTAACGTTGATTGATAATGAAACATTAATACGTTCCTTTTAAAAGAAAATTAGATGTTTTATGTTGAGAAAGGAAGAAAATTCTTCAGTCTCACTATGAATACAAACTCGTAGATGATTGACTTTTTGTTCTAAATTGAGATGAATTTCTTTTAGATTATTGTAACGTTCTTGAAGATATTCTGTTGCTTTGACATCCGAAGATAATAGAAGATTATGATCAGATAATTTTTGTAAATCAATTATAATTGATCGTTGAATAGTTTGATATTCCTTAAATGAGAAAGAAATTTTTTTTTTATTTATGATAAAAATATATTTCGATTATGGGTGTGGGGTGTGGGTGTGGGTGTGAGTATGGGTAGGTGATGGCGTAGGTGTACTGGAACAAGAGGCCCATAACCACACTCACAAGAATGTTGTAATCGGTGATCACACCTAACCAGACTCTATGTTTACAGCATCCTGACAACATAAGTCGATCAAACCATTTGTTCATCTAGCTGTCAATAGTTTCATCTGAAAGAGCAAAAACTTCTGCAGAAAATCATAGAAGAACCATAATGAGTTGGTGAAGTTTAGGAAAAAATTCATCGGGCCGGATGGTGTTTCTATCAGTACTGTTCCTATGTGATGTTGTTTCACGTAGTTGAACCGTTGTGAAAAATCTTTTACAATGAAATTTGGTCTCACTATGGGTCGATGAATTTTTTTGCGAGCTACATGAGTGGCATATTTTGCATCTCGAAAATTTCAGTGGGAAAAATGATAGGTTTGTGTGTGCGCTATTAGCGCATGGACGGAACACTGACAAACACCTCGGAAAACTATTTTCCAGATTTATTTTTACGCAACCTTAAGCGTATCACTCTGATTGAATTTCAAGATTGTGTAGACGATCAGCTGATGCGAGAAAAGTCGACAAGTAGCTGCGGATCGCAAGGTTTGGAAATAGTTGGATTATGGGACAATATTGGCACAGCAACTGACAAAACATGGTTGACGCAAATGTTAATGCTTTATGATAAACAAAATGTATTGATGAAAATAATAACAAATAATCTTTGAAAAAGTATGATGCGCAAATGTTCAATTTTCCTACTCCACATAAGCAAGGTGTGGAAAGCATCTGCTTTGATAATAACTAATTGAGTTTTGATCATAATATTCATCGCTACTTTTAAACACCGGCGAATTATCAAATAAATCAGACGAGAAGCTATATCTTGGAATATCTGTGGCTCTCTGTTCTAGAAAATGATCAATTCATGTGGTTCTCATATTTCAGAAACACAACAACCTTACTCGACTTCAATCTGCCTGCAGACATTCAAACATCAAGTATATGACTACCGTAAAACTCCAACCCCAATATGAAGACAGACCTGCGCAAATATGGTTCTTCACTTGCTCAGCTAGTGCACAGATGATAGACTACTGTGCACACACCAACGCCTCCATCTACCATTGAGAAGTCTGTCAAAAAACACATCTCTAATCATGTTGGTGAGGGTAAAGATATAAATTGAAAGAAAAACAACACCCACACCTACCCACATAGTAAAATAAGGAAGAAAAACATGTTTTCAAAACTTTGTATCCTTTTCCCATCCACACATTCGCTGTAAGACTATCAATAGTTTCCGCTAACTATTCCGGTAGATTGCATCAGTTTTCCACTTTAAGCGGCATTTCGCTTGACCTTTGCGATCAACATGCGAGTGAGAATGGTGCTATTGTAGTCAGGAATCAATGCAATACTCTGGAGTGCTAAGCATTCTTCTAACGCTAATAAAGCCTCTTCTCTTTGATTTAACGAGAAATAAACGCGCCCTAAATTCTGGTAACTTTGAGCAATTTCTGAATCAGTTGGCGATAACGACCTGAGACGAATATCCAGTGCACGTTGGTGAGATACTAAGGCGTCGGAGTGTTTTTGTAGTTTGCACAGTATATTACCAAGAAATGAGTGCGCTGAGGCTAGATCAAGATGGTCTGGTGGGATGCGTGCGGTTCGAATGTTGACACATTTTTGAGCATGTGCGAGTGCTTGCTCATTCTTTTCTTCTAGAAAGTAGTTGGCTGCAATCAGCTCATGTGTAGTTGCAATATGGAGGTCGTCCGGAAGCAATGTGACGAGCTGTATTTCCAAACACTTTTCTAATGCTAACAAAGCCTCTTCTCTTTGACGCAACGAGGAATAGGCGCGACCCAAATTCTGGTAAATTTGAGCAATCTTTGAATCAGTTGGTGATAACGATTTGAGATGAATATCCAGTGCACGTTGGTATGAATTCAAGGAATCAGAGAAATTCCCTTGTTTTTCTTGAGCATCCCCAAGCGATTCATAGGTGATAGCTAGATCTGGATGTTCTAAACCCAGTAACTTGGTCTGAATATCTAAACATTGCTGCCAGTATAATAAGGCATCGGCATAGTTGTGGATGATTACCGCGGTCAGTGCCATATGTTGATAGGTGATAAAGATATTTTTGTGGTCGTGAGGCAACGTGACGCGTTGAATTTCCAATCGCTTTTGAAGGGTAGACAAAGCCTCTTCCCATTGATGTGATTTAGAAAGTGTAAGTGATATGTGTAAGTAAGTATTCACAATATTGGGATTTGTTGGAGGTGAACAATTAAGATAAATATCAAGAGCATGCCAGTAATGGATGAGTGCGTCGACAAATTTTTTATCTAGATGCAACACAAGACCAATGTAGCAGTAAGTTGAAGCAACATCATGATTGTTCCTCGGATTAGTACGTATTTGAAGGTCTAAACAAGCTTTAAGATGCACGGTGGCATCAGAGTAATTTCCCATCTGAAAGAAGACATTCGCTATGCTTTCGTAAATCACAGGCGTACTCGAAAAATCGGATAAAGCAATTTTTTCTGTATTTTTAAAGATTCGTTCAAGTTCAACAAAGCCAAACAGTATTGCTTATTCTGGGCATTTAGTAAGCCCATTTCATGATAGCTATTAGCTACATATTTGTGAATATGGTCCCATTCACTAGATAAGGACTCTGGAAACTGCAGACACTTCTGTTCCACCGTCTCCCATTTTTTATATGCAGTCAGTGCTCCTTCTTTATCACGTCGCGCTATTAGCATCTTTGTTATCCGAGGAAGAATCAATAATAGCCATCTTTCTGCTTTGTTGGGGTATCCGTCAAAAATTTCACATGCTTTATAGTAGTTTTGCAAGGCTTCAGACAAATCGGATTTTTGAAAGCAGATGCCAAGAATGTAATGCGTACCAGCTATATCAATATGCTTCGGCGGAAGGCTTGCTATTTGAATCCTTAAAAGTTCACGAGCTTTTGATATTGCTTCTTCAGTTTTATTTTGGGTTAGATAAACTCTAATTTGACTGTGTAACTCGATTGGTGTGCAATTGCTACCTGACTGCTGTTTTTGCACAATACTAAGCAGGCGTTCTAGGCATTGAGCTGGTATCAGAGAGGTCGATGAAATACTACTGTCAGATGATAATAATGAGTATGTCGATTGACATATCGCATTTATCACGTGTGTGGGTGGCAATGCGTGTTCCAATAGTCCTACTGCATTTTTTTGTAGCTCTAATGCTTCATCGACGCTTGATTCCAAAAATTTAAAACTAGCCATTAGTTGGAGACACTGACCTATCATTGGATGTGTTGATGGAAGATGTTTGCGTGCAGTATCGTATGCTTTTTCAATATAGGGAAAACCTTCGAAAGAAAGCCCCGAATAAAAAAAGATGCATCCAATCGTCAAATTCACCATTACCAAAGGCTCTTCATATCCTTCAGATTTGCAATCCAGCAAAATATTCAGCGCTGCTTGCAATTTTTCCTGACAAAGAGTAAGCTTTCCCTGGATATATGCGGCCATACCTTCCACGTAGTACATATTCCACCTATTCGTTGACATCAAGTTCAACTGCCGTTCACAGCTCAATGCTAGTTCGATGTTCTTTAGCGCTTGTTCATAGTTTCCCAGAGCAGCGTATGCACATCCTAGATCTTGGTATAACCCGGAAGTACATAATATATTGTTCGGTGTTGCTAATACTTTCTTGTATATCTCTATGCTCTTCTCAAAAGCGCCCATGGAAAGAAAGAGATGAGCAAGATATGCTAGATCTGGTTGTTGCATATTTGATTGCATGTAGTTATAAAGATCCATCAACTCTTCGTCATGATTACCTGTTAATACCAAACTGATATGCCAACAACAATCCACATCGCACTCTGTAATAGTTTCGATACGAAACACACTACCCATGGTGAAGAGAAATTCCTCTTCATCGTGTTGATTACTATATTGTTGGATATTAGCATAGGCAGCACTAGGAGATTTGATTGGATCAGCAGTAATTTCAAACATCACCGATACGTGCTCGTTGTTATTTGATATGCATCCCGAATACATTGCAGCGACAGTAGAATTCGAGGAAGTAGAAAGAAAATTATTGATCGATAATAATCCCCCAACATTTGTCTTGATCTTTTCAAAATCAACACGTGGTATCCGTTGACCCCGGTAGAGCTTCAGAACTGCTGTTTTTCTTGCATCCATGTGTATTTCCATGATCTTTTTGTTTAAATCCCTGATGAAGATACGCATCGCATACAACTTGTCAATGTCATACGTGCGCAACGCATTATTAAGTGTTCGATAAATAAATGGCTCTGTTGTATACCACCAGAGTGCTTCTTTGGACAAGTACTCATTTTCAAGCTTGTTTATTTTCTTAATCTGCTCTTCATTATCCTTGTACTCGTTCTTAAGAAACTCAATCATATCATTGAGATCTTTATTTGTGTATGACATGTGTGTTAGAATATCTTTGAGTAAGTGGCAATACATGAACATCACTTCTTGATTATTGTTTCTTTTACAGTTTGTCGAAAACCGACTTCCAAGACCCAAAGTTTCCAATAAAATACTAGTATCATGATTATCCATCTTAATCTAAAACCGATAACTAATTGGATGCATGTCCTGATATATTCATTTGATATTTTCATATGCACTTGTCATGATGGAATGTCTAAACGGTCTGAATATGTGATACGTTCTAGGAGAGTGTGACTGTTTATCATCTCTTCAATTGCCGCTATACTCCCAAACATACCCTCAGCAACACTCCATATCATCATTCGAGCTATGCGAGAGCTTGCAAATGTTATGTGTGCACATACCTTTTCGTCAAACAGTGTTGCCTTACTGAGCAACGCGTCTGATTTAAATCTGACAATAGAAATAAAATAGCGTCGTCATTTCTTAGCTGATGGGGTGGTTTCGATAAGAGGAGCATGTGCTGTTGTTTGAATTATTTCACATCTTGCCAAGAGAACTCAAATAAATTGAATGGTCGTCATGGTTTTAAATGGAGTAAGAGCGTCTTTTGTTTGTGCAAGCCTGCAACAGCATCGACAGAATTAAGCCGAGAGAGTGTGGGTGAGTGCTTCTGTACTGGGATAGATGGGTATCTGAACTGGACAGGGTATGGGGTGTCGGTGTATCAGTATAAAAGACTCACACCCATTTCCAAAAAAAATAATTCAATCACCTATAATTTCTTCGATGCTTTCTCTTTAGAAACAAAACGTGGAATCCTATTCAACCACATACTTATTCACTCTTGTCCTTTTCTTTTCTTTTTTTTTAAATCACCATCGAAATTTAACTACGCATCGTTCATATGAAAAACGTTACAATTCATATCGCGCATTATTTATCACTTTGATATATCACACTCTCTTGAAAAAGAAATAATTTGAAAAACCTCGCGTTAATAAAACTTTATTTATTTATTCTATTTCTTTTCGTGATTATTTTACTAATCTTTTTCTCAATAAAATAACAAAATAAAAAAGTAAATTCTTGCAAAACCTACATGTTGACTTGTCAAATTTTAATAAATCTTAATCGTTAATTAAAATTCAATAAAATCAAAACGTATGATCAATGGTCAAATAAAATAATTTATAAACTTTCAAACTTTGCATTTCAAACACTCATGTACAATATTGAACATACTTATCATCATTACCTGATGAAGATAGAAATTGAATAAAAAAAAAGGAATTCATTTGATAATAAACATCCTTTATAGTTATCATATCATATAAATGTGAAATACAATCCAGTGTATACATGTTAAATATAGGAAACAACTCTTGAAATATCAGTCTAAATAATATTATTCAAAGAATTAACAAAATAAAAATTTGTTCGAAAAACTCTGTTTTTTATAATCTATTCTTAATTGTTTCAAAATGATATCGAAACGGCATTTACATTTGATTTTGCACATCAATATTTATCTAATAAACTAATATTGAAAAACTTTTTCATGATATTCTGATTTAAAAAAGCGAGAATGTGAAAGAATCAAATGAATCATTTTTCATTTAATTATTGAAAAAGAATAAAAATTTAAATTTAAATATTGAAGTATTGTAAGGTCAATCTGAATAAGATTCATATATACGACCGGAGAGAAAGATAACTTTTTATTAATATTTTTCGTTGTACTGTTAAGCTGAGAATATAGTTTCTACTTTATTTTCGATTCTTTCTGTTTTCCTCGTGTCGACTAGCGTATGCAAAAATACCCAATTTTTCATCTATAGTAAAAACAAATTCGTTCATTTAGTTTAAAAGATGCACAATGAAGCATTCTCTGATATTACACTTGTCGAATGTTTTAATACCATAATTGATAAGTATGTTGCGAAGGAACGCAAAACTACCAGACGAAAAGGATAAATAATAGAAATTATTTGAATCAGTAAGAAATATTTTTGAAATACTCGAATGATCTTTATATTATTTCTGATAGATTTACATCAGTGGGTTCATTATGATGCAATTAATGATATATTTCAATCAGATTCTGGATAAAGCTGATTCATGTAAAAATGGATCGACAATTTATTTATCACCAAAGTGCAATGTTCTTATTTTTAATAATGTACAGTGTGAGAACGATTGTTCGACTTGTGCTCTTCCTTAAGAATATTAACACCTGCAACCCATGTCCAAGAAAACGGTGCGTAAACTATCATAGACGATGTAAAAACGGCACCGTTTTCCGTCAGCTCAGGAAACGATAAATATAGTGTTAAAAACGATGGCCGTTTTATAGCCGCTTTAGACTTTTTAAGATGCTCGTTCCGATGGTCGGAATGATTGCTCTGGAATCTTGCTGAAATGATTTTTCTTCGGGAGCAACGGTGTCGGATGATCTTTGGTGGGATAGTTTGTCGTTATCCATATGGGAATTATGTGTCAACAGAAATTAAATATCGTCGTTTTATGCATTCCATGTAAGTACCTCTTTAGTTATTTTTTTAAAGAAAAGTCATCATATTGATGAAATTGTTTTACAGTTGTCATATGCTATATTATCTCCGATAACTTCTGTGTTAGCGTGTAATCAACATGAGATTAATCATTGCTGATACATTATCTATGGTAGAAAAGCAAAATCTTCAACAATTAATCCAAGGTCAACAACAACAACAATAACAATCAATATAGGAAACATCACTTTAAGTGTTCCTTTTTGGAGTTTTATGTTCTTTGTTTGTTACTATTACATGATTTGTTTTTTTTTCGATCATATGCATGAGCCTTGTTTCAAGAAGACGAAAAAAAAATTGTTTTGGTTTCTAATTCGATATGTGGAATAAAAAACAATCGAGCATTTTTGTTGAAAAATGAAAATATTCAGTTAGTTGAAATTTCGAAATAGTTAAAAAAAAGCATTTAAGAATATGAATGTAAATGAAGATATAAGATTAATTGAACACATACATTGACACCGATATCGAGTATTTCGACAGATATAATGTGTCTTTTTGTTGAACAGTATGTTTTACAGAGAATTCAAAATGTTGAATATTATAACATTGACTGATTATTAGAAAGTTAATCAAAAATAAATTAAAGTTCAATTGATAACGAAAATGTTAGATGTCATCTTAGTCTTTCTCAATAGCTTTTCAATATTTATGTAAAGTTTATTTCTCTATAGAATTTATCAAGAGCTATCTATAATAAAATAATCATTGGTTATTATGAATGTTACTTTCACATACATTTGAAACTTAATAATTTCTGACGAACTAAGAAGGCTTCTGTAACATATACCATGACAATCCATGAAAAACTATGCAAGTTGTGTGAAATTACTTTTGATTATGGACTAGAAATTAAAATATTATTAATATTAGTAGTCAAACAATAAGCTGTGATACGAACAAACGAACTGATTTTCATCAATTGAAATAATAGCACACAGAGTACTAGAAGATATATCTCTGTAGAATTCGAATAATTTCTGTGTCAGGATCGCCATCTATTATAATAGTTGGACGATCCTTCGTCTCTCTTGTCTTTCTTCTATTGGTCTTTTATGAACATATATGTTTTGTTTTTGTTTTCTTCGTTCTTGCTGTTGTTTATCCTGAATAAAAAGGTGGTCGAACGACCGTAGCTCGAAGAGAGCCTAACCCGACTTCCTTCTTTTCATCGTCTCGATTGTAACGGATCCTAACAATGATGCACTAGCCGGTTTTCTTTTAAATATATTTTTTATTTACTATTATTGTTGTTATTATTTAAAAAGAAAAAAAATCAAGTCCAAAAAGAATTTATTAATTAAAAATTACCCGCGTGGCAAGCTGAGCAACATTTATTAATGAAAGGAAGAACAACTCGTTCTACAATTGATTATTCACATATTAAAATAGATAATTTACAATATATTCCATTGCCCAAATCAACAAATAATCGAAGTATGTCGACTTCACAAACTTCAAATGTCTTAACAAAAGACGAAGGTAAAAGTACCGAAGAGACACTTGATGCAAATGTGGCTGAAGTGGACGGTCATGTAGTAAATGATCAGTCTACACAGTCACAATTGTCACATCAAGAGGTTATCGAAGGAAAACTACGAACGTTTCAAAAATTTAATGGAAATGGTGATGCTGAACAATGGTTGATGTATTTGTTAGATAAATTCGATTCATTAGGAGTGAACATGGCCGAACGTATTATATGGATACCTAATGTATTATCGATGAAGCATTTATTTGGTATGCACGAAGTGCAAATGTTATACCAACGTTTATAGCATTCACAAATTTATTTTTACAACGGTTTTCTACCAAAAGAAATGAAGAGATAAAAATTACAACAAATAATAATAACGTACAAATGTCCAATTTAAATCAAGACGATGTATTTGGTTCATTACGCAGTCAATTATTATTAACTCATATCGAAAAATGACCAAAATTTACAGGTCGTTCAAAACAAAATGTTTCAAAATGGTTACGTGAAGTGAATCAAACAATGCATTTATTAAAATTGTCAGACACGGAAAAATTGTTCTATATCCCGTCCTGTTTAGAAGCTGATGCTAAAGATTGGTTTTTTGATAATTATCATTTTGTTCCATCGTGGTCATTATTTGTACAGAAATTACTTGATACTTTTGAATCTTCTAGTAAAGCTAATATTGCTTTTAATCGTTTACGTCAATATCAACAACGTTTACATCAAGATGTTCGACAGTATTATTTTGAACTTATGAAATTATGTAAAGAAGCAAATCCATTAATGGATGAATCATCTAAACTTCAATACTTGAAAGATGGTTTAAAGTCCTCATTACGATTTGATATTCTTCTAAAAAATCCAACAACAACGGATGAATTTTTAAAATATGCACAAAAAATTGAAGAATTAAGATCCCTTGATGAACAACAAGGAATGATGGAACAATCTTCACAACAACAACCAAATTTAATTACTACATCTGCTCGATCTTCAAATTCACCAACAAATTATGCACGTACATCACAAACTAACAACAAGACAACAACAACAACAACACGGAACAATTTATCAAATCAACATCGTCAAAATAATCGTACACCAAAACCACCATATCGATGTTATAGATGTGATGGTACAGATCATTTTATTAGTCAATGTCCACATTTTCAATAGTAGGATCATCGATTGATGGTGATGCTCCTACTCGTTTATTAAATCCATCACCAATTTTCATCCTTGCAAAAGTTAATCAAGTTATTACAAAAATTATGTTTGATACTGGTTCAGCTAAATCTTTTATCAAAAAATCTATTCTCGAACAAACAAATCATGTTAATATACAATTTAAACAACAATCATATTTAATGGCTGATGGCAGTTCAACATTTAATATTCTCGGTACAACAGAAATATTTATCGAATTTGAGAAATCATGTACTAGTATTATTGCTGGCGTTGTTGATACATTATGTGTCGATTGTTTATTAGGAATGGATTACATCAATAAATATTATGTAAATCTCAACAACAAAGAAAAACAAGTTCAAATCCATATTCAAGATATTATTGTTGATCTTCCAATGGAAAATACAATGAAGACTATTAATGTACCTGGTCGAGCAAATGCATTCACGTATTTTC